ATTGTGGCAGGCACCTGTAGTCCCAGCTACTTGGGAGGCTGAGGCAAGAGAATCACTTAAGCCCAAGAGTTTGAGGTTGTTATGAGCTGTGATGCTACCACACTCTACTGAGGGCAACAAAGTGAGATTCTGCCTCAATAAAAAATAAAAATAAACAAAAATTTTTAAAATGAACAAAAAAACAAGAAAAATAAAATAAAAACAAAATAATTTAAAAATAAATAGCAGTAGTACTTAAAATTATACAAACTTTGTCCGGTGTTACTAAACAGGGGGAAGATCATTTGCTATTGAATAGATTGATGGAATACTCATTGGGTAGGAGCCAGCACATGGCAAGTTGCTTTCCACCCTCCAGAAGAAACAATTTTCATTAAATTATTTATTGCTGAAACAATTTCTGTATTGGTCCAATACAAATGTTCAGCAAATTTATTCCCTTGGACTTTATATATTAGATACTTTATAAATGTGGAATAATTGTGATCAAAGCTTTTTAAAATATGTAACTAAAGGAATAAGGTTAAAAATGAAATTAGAATAACAGTAACTCTGTTCTTGTTTTAAATGTTTTTACTGTAATGTTTAATTTTACCCTTTGTAGAATTGCCATGAACTTGAAAAGATGGACCTGGAAGAGTGTGTTCAGGTAAGATTCAGAAATACAGTATGATAGAAACTTAACTTGCGGCTCAGCGCCCATAGCACAGTGGCTACAGCACCAGCCACATATACCAAAGGTGGCGGGTTCAAACCCAGTCCGGCCAGCTAAATAACTGCAACAGAAAAATAGCTGGGCATTGTGGTGGGCGCCTATGGTCCCAGCTACTTGGGAGGCTGAGGCAAGAGAATGGCAAGAGTTGCTGTGAGCTTTGTGAGTGAGACTCTCTCAAAAAAAAAAGAACAGAAACTTAACTTGCTTTGGCCACTTCTTTAAACTTTACTCTTGTGTAAAGTAATGATATTAATAAAATGGGGGGGGGGGGTAACTTAGATAATAGATGTACATCAGAATGTCCTTTTTTTTTTTTTAATTAAATCATAGCTGTGTACATTAATGCAATCATGGGATACAATGTGCTGGTTTTATGTACAATTTGAAATGTTTTCATTGAACTGGTTAACACAGCCTTCACGGCATTTTCTTAGTTATTGTGTTAAGACATTTATATTCTACACCTAGTAAATTTCACATGTACCTTTGTAAGATGCACC